ACAGATACACACAGAGATACACACATACAGGTGTGCACGCACACAGCTACACACAGGTACGCACACACACACAGATACACAGGGACAGATGCACAGGTGTGCACACACAGGTACACATACACACAGAGACACACACATACAGGTGTGCACACACAGGTACAGATACACACAGAGATACACACATACAGGTGTGCACGCACACAGCTACACACAGGTACGCACACACACACAGATACACAGGGACAGATGCACAGGTGTGCACACACAGGTACACATACAGAGACACACACATACAGGTGTGCACATACAGGTACACACACACACAGAGATACACACATACAGGTGTGCACACACACAGCTACACACAGGTACGCACACACACACAGATACACAGGGACAGATGCACAGGTGTGCACACACAGGTACACATACACACAGAGACACACACATACAGGTGTGCACACACACAGATACACACAGGTACGCACACACACACAGATGCACAGGGACAGACGCACAGGTGTGCACACACAGGTACACAGGTACAGACACACAGGGCAGGCACATGCACACGTGTGTACACACATGTGCACACATACAAGCACGTGAGCACACAACCCCAGTGACTGGCAGCACAGATCACAGATTTCTGCCCAAATTTCCTGGGTCCAGGGAGGGCCCAGCCGCACACGCAGGGTGGGGACAGAGCCCGTGACGCTGCTCAGCCTCTGGCCACAGCTCTGCAGTGGTTGCAGCTGTTGCAGTGGTTTCCTCGGGAACAATCCCCAGGGCACGTTACAGAACGGGCAGTGAGGGGGCCAGGACGGCAGAGCCCGTTCCCAATGAGCTGCTTTGTCAGGGCTGTGCCTGAGCCTCGCTCACCCCCGAGGATGGGCAGGACACGCTGGGGCCGGCAGACCCCGTGCCACGGGCAGCACTGAGGGGTCCCAGAGACCATGTAGTTGGAGCTCATCAACACATCTCACACATCTGTCCACGGCAGCACAATCCACAGCCCTTCAGTGCCAGCGCAGCCCCATACAGCCCACAGCCAGCCCCTCTGGCTGCACCCCACTTCCCGTGGCTGGGACCATCCCCTCCATCACCTCCCACTGCTGTTATCCCACTCCCAAAGCTGTTTTCCTTGGCAGAGCTCAACCCCAGCCCAGCGACCCCACCATGGCTTTCCCTGCCGCCCCCCGACCCCAGCAGGGGCAGCAGCGCCCACCCCCCAGAGCCCCCAGACCCCAACAAGGGCAGCAGTGCCCACCCCCCAGAGCCCCCAGACCCCAACAAGGGCAGCAGTGCCCACCCCCCACAGCCCCCAGACCCCAACAAGGGCAGCAGTGCCCACGCTCGGCAGCCCCCAGGGCTCCCACCTGCTGCGGGTCTGGTCGGCCCTGGCCTCCAGCAGCAGCGCCTTGAAGCGGCGCACGGCGAGGGCGGCGAGCACGGCGCCCAGGAGCACGATGCTGAGCAGGACCCCGGCCGCCGTGCCCAGCAGGCCCTGCTGCGTCACCCGGTAGTCGCAGCGCAGCCCCATGAACCAGAAATCGCTGCCCACGGGGCACCTGCAGCGAGGGGCCCGTCAGCGCCAGGGGACAGCGCCGCCAGCCCGGGCTGTCCCCAGGGCACTCACTGGCAGCGGGGCGGCTGCTCCCGGCCGTGCGAGCAGATGCCGTGGTTCTTGCAGTAGGCGCGGTGGCACAGGGAGGTGCAGGTCGCGTTCCCGTCCGCCCCGGAGGCGCAGGCGAAGCCGGGCGGGCAGGTGAAGAGCAGAGCGCAGGGCTCCAGCGGCCGCGCTGCGGGACGGGCACGGCTGTGTCACCCTCCCTGCCCGGCGTGTGCCCGCCCTGCCGGCAGCCCCCAGAGGGCCGCGCACTCACCCAGAGCCTCGTGGCGCAGGACGGGGGCCGTGCCCAGCGCCAGCCCCGGCCGGGCACGGGCAGAGCCCAGCGCGGCCTCCAGGAGCTCGTCCAGCCCCGGCCCGGGCAGCTGCTCGGCCGCGAACAGCGCGTCGTAGCTCAGCACCACGCTGCCCTTCCTGCGGGGACACCGCGGGGACACCGCGGGGCTGGGGGGCCGCACCCGAGACAGCACCCCCCTGATCCCCGACACCTGCGGGACCGGGCCAGCACCCACCGGATCCCCGACACCTGCGGGACCGGGCCAGCACCCACCTGATCCCAGTGACCTCCAGCCGCAGGAAGCCAGGCACGGGCGCGAAGAGGGGAGTGACCTGCACGGGGCGGCGGGAGCTGAGCGCGGTGTCCCCGGCCCGCAGCCCCCGGCCCGCAGCCCCCGGCCCTGCCCGCACTCACGGTCTCGTTGAAGCTGTGCAGCAGCTCCTGGCGCTCGGGGGAGCCGGGGTCCTGCAGGGCCGGCACGAACGCCATGTCCAGCACCAGCTCACAGGGGATGCGCAGGAGGGGCGCTGCAGGAGGACAAGGGCACCGGCAGGTCGTGTATCCCCCCAGGAGCCGCCTGCAGCTCCTCCTCCTGCCGTGCCCCAGCACAGGATCCCAAACCCGACTCACCTCTCAGGAGCGGGGGCTGATCCTCCACGATGAACACCTGGGGGGCCCTGCCCACCCCAGTCGGTGTCACCTGGGGGGTGTCAGGGTCTGTCCTCCCTCTGGGGCTGCTCGATGGCCGGGCCAGCTCGGTGTCCACAGCAGCTGGGGGGGACCCAGGACCCCTTCCATGGGAATCTGGGGGCTGCTGGGGGGACCCGGGCATCACAGTGGGCACCTGAGCTGGGGATTCCCAGGTTACTCCCTGCACATCCCTCTGCGGTACAGCAGGATGCGGCTCTGCTGTGACCGTCCCCGTGTCCCAGAGCCCTTCTGGGCTGGTGGCAGCTGTGATGGTGGCAGTGGCACCAGTGCTGGTGACACCAACAGCAGTGGTGGGTCCCGGGAAAGATGCAGGCTGGGACAAAGCTGCCTGCTGGGGAGGCCCCGGTGCTGAGGGGGGTGCCAGGCTGCCCACTCCCACCTGGGTCCCCCCCAGGGATGGAGGGCTCTCAGCAGGACCCACCTTTGGGCTGGAGTGGGGCACCCCTGGGGAGGGGTCCCCCAGAGGGGCGCCCACAGTGGGGCTGAACCCCAGAATGCCCCAGCTGGTCCCTGGGGAAGGCAGTGGGGCCGACAGCAGGGTCACTGCAGAGCCACTGGCTGGGGCAGACTGTGGGGACGGGGACACGTGGGGGGACCCAGGACTGGTGTGTGTCACCCCACCCTGTGCCACTGCAGGGCTGCCAGGGGCTGGGGGCACAGGGGGCTGCCCTGGGATGGCCGACGGGCTCGGGGGGATGTGACCGTGCTCAGGGGCACCCCCTCTGTCAGGTGGGCCCAGGACCCCTGTGGTCAGGTCCAGAGCTGCTCTGTAGCCGGGAGATGTCACCCCTGGGGTGGTGGCCATGGAGGTGGGGAGAGGCAGAGCTGAGCCCGGGCGTGTGGCAGGCAGCGAGGCTGGGCCTGTCCCCTCGGCTGGCCGGGCTGTGCTGGCCAAAGCGCTCCCACCAGGCCCAGGGGACAGCGCAGAGGGCTGAGGGGCAGAGCGGGGACCCTCCCGTGGCTGGGAAGCAAAGCCCTGCCCTCCTGACAGCCCTGGCAGCCCTGGCAGCCCCCAGTGTGTCCCCTGCAGGGTCCCTGTGGGGGTCAGCAGCCTCTGCAGCCCCCCAGCAAAGGGTGACGTCCCTGCTGTCCCTGGCCCTGAGCTGTCAGTGGCCAGCGCGGTGCTGGGGCGGGTCCCTGGGCTGCCGTCACCCAGCCGGACAGTGTCATTCTGGCTCTGCACGAGGGCTGTCCCAGGGGCCCTCCGTCCCAGCAGGCTGCTGCTGGAGCTCCACTGTCCCCCGGCAGAGCCTGGCACCGTCACGGAGGGTGGCGAATGCAGAAGCGTCCCCTGCGCGGTCGTGGCACCTTCTGCTGTCTCCTGTCCCAGAGGGTCCGGGGGGTGCGGGGTGTCAGGGTCTGTGTGTGCCTCCGCAGGGGCTGGGGTCCCCGCAGCGGGGGCTGGAGGGGCTGGCTGCTCCCAGCCTGCAGAGACCGCGGGCCCGGGGGGCTCGGTGGCCGAACCGCCCCGCGCCGCCGGCCCCGTCCCGCCCCTGCCCAGCCCGGGGCCTCCGGGGCTCTGCTGCGGGCTGGAGAGCTCGGGGGTCCCGGCGGGGGTCCCGGGGAAGGGCGGCGGTCCGGCCTCTGGTGTGGGCGGCCGCCCCGTGCCAACTCCAGGCTGCTCCATGCCAGCTCCCGGCTGCGGGCGATCTGCGGGCAGAGGCGAGGGGCGAGCACTGAGCGGCTCCGACCGCGGGACCCTGGGCCCAGCGAGCCGCAGCCCCCGCGGAGGGCACTCGGTGCCCCGGAGGGTGCGGGAGGGCGGCGGTACCGGTACCGGTACCTGTACCTGTCCGGCAGCGCTCCCCCGCCGCAGGGCCCAGCTGGGCGCAGGGGTCGGCGGCGCTCAGAGCGGAGCCCGTCCCGCTGCCCAGGGCCGGGCAGAGCCGTGCACAGCATTCCACGAGCACTGGGAGAGAGGGAAAGGAGCAGCGTGCATCGGTGCTGGGCATCGAGCATCCCGCACCAGCACCAGGCACCGACCCCGGAGCTGCCGCCGAGGTGAGGCCCCCGTCTCTTTCTGCCTTCTGATAACCGAGGGGGGCTCTGCTGCCGGAGATCCTCCAGAACAACCCAAACCCAGCTGGGAACCGCCTGCCCTTGTCCCAGCGAGCGGCGCCGAGTCCTGCCCCACCACCTCACTGTGCTCACTGAGCCACCTGCCCCCGTCCCAGCGAGCGGCGCCCAGCCCTGCCCCACCACCTCACTGTGCCCGTGCTGGGCTCACGCCGAGGGGGTGGCAGGGCTCCGGGCAGGGCTCCGGGGCCCTTGGCGGCTCCTCTCCGGTGATAATGGGCGGTTCGGCAGGAGCCACGGCGGGTGGGCACCGCCTGGTGGGGCTGGCACAGCCCGGGGGTCGCCACAAAGCCTGCGGGCCCCGCTCTGCACCGGCGCCCACCCGGGCTCCCGCAGGGGCAGCCCCGCCGCCTTCGAGGCCACGGAGTCGCCCGGGCTGGTGGCACGGCTTGGCACGGAATGGCCACACGGAAACCACACGCGGCCGGCGCCGGCGTGCCCGCCCCGCTGCCCGCTCGCCCCGGTACCCGCGGCCGGGCCCGCTCCGGGCAGGTCCCAGCGACACCGAGCGGCCGCCGCCGCGCCCAGCCCCAGCCCCGGCGGGGACACGGAGCCGCCCGGAGCCGGTACCGGCCCCAGCGCCGCCGCAGAGCTCCGGGCCGCCGGGATGCACCGGCCCTGCCGCCGCCGCCCCCCAGCGCAGCATCCCCGCCCCGGGACCAGCGGCACCGGGGACCCGTCCCGGCCGCGCCCCCCTCACCTGCGGCGGCCAGGAGCCGGGGCAGCGGCGGCCGGGGCCGGGGCAGCGGGAGCCGGGGCCGCTCCATGGCGCGGCGCGGGCGGCTCTGCCAGGCGGCGGCAGGAAGCCCCCGCCCGCCCCCGCTGCGGCGGGGCGGAGGCGCCGGGAACCGCAGCCCCCGGCCCGGACCCGCCCCACGGCACCGGCCCCGGAGCTCCCTCCCTCCCTCCCTCCCTCGGGCCGGGCGGACCGGGGCTCGGCAGCTCGGCACGGCCCCCGGGGCTCGGCACGGCCCCCGGTACTCAGCGCGGAGCCGCCGCCCGCGGCACTCGGGGGACTCGCAGCCCCTGCCCGTCCCCCTCCCACCGGTTCATCCCGGGACGCGCGCTCTGCCCCCGGCTGTCCCCGCTCCACGAGCCGCGCCGGGACAAAGGCTCCCCCAGGACACCAGGGTCAGCTCTGGCCGCAGGTCCCTCACCACACCCTCAGGGTCACCACAGCCGCGGGAAGCAGCGACCACTCCCCACATCAGACACCTTGTGTCCATGCCACGGGGGCACAGCAGCCAAACCCACCGTGTGCCCCCAGCTCTGCTCAGAAAACGCCCCAGAGCTCAGCCAGGCTGTGGGGCACGGAGAAGTTTCCAAGGGCACGGTGAGAACAGCACCTGTGCCCCGGAGGCAGAGGGTCACTGCTCTGCCAGGGATCCCACAGGGAGGTGCAGCTCCTGAGAGCACCCTGGCAGCACCCAACCACAACACGAGCACCATGGGCAGCACTGCAGCCTCTGCTCCATTTTCCATCCTTACCTCCCCCACAGCCAGAGGATCTGTTATCCTTGACACTTCCTTGGCTCCCAGCCTGGCAGGGCTGCTGTGACATGTCAGTGTTTCTTGGCTCTGAGGAAAAACTGTGCAGTGCTCAGAAACACCCCGTTCCTGCCTCGTGAGGGTTAAAGCAAGGCTCCCGTGTTGTGATGAACCGGGTGTACAGGAACAGCGATGTCAATTTGCTGTTCAGCAGCAGGAAAATCATTCCCCCCCTTATTTTCCATCAGGAAAGCAGAAGCCTTTCACACAGAACTTGTTTTTATCAGCACTGATGAAATAAACAGTTACAAGCATGCAGGGCAGAGCCAAATCTCGGGGCAGGGTCCCCCGAGTGTCCTTCACACCCAACACCATCACCAGGACCCACCCACTGTGTGAGACAGAACAGCCACCACCAGAATGGTCTTAACTCTTTATTCCTGTTTTTTTTTTCTTGTTTTTAAAGGACAACACATTCAGACAGCTTTAAATACAACATCCACGTGCAGCTTCCAAAGAAGGCAGCAGTGGGACAGCGTGCGCACTCCCGTCCATCCCTGCCGGCACCAGCCCAGTCCTGGTGTGGGACAACTCCTGGAAAACAAAATCCACACGTTTAACACCTCACCAAGCATTCAAAGGCACAGAGGCGGGTCAGGACACGCTGAGCGCTGAACACAGGCACAGAAGGAGCCCCCAGTTCTCTCCGGAGGCCACAGCTCCCACCCTGCCCTGCACAGAGAAGGGTGGCAGCCCCCCTGCCCCAGGGAGCTGGGGGGGAAGCCTGGAGCCACACAGGAACAGGCAAGAATGTGGATCAGTGCTGCGGGCTGGCCTGAGGCCACCTCATTTCCCCTGCAGCCCTCCCCGACCGCTCCTATAACCCTTTCCTGCCCATTTCCTTCCCGGCTGAGGCAGAGGAAACGGCAGCAGTGGCAGGGCTGAGGTGCCCCCAACGCCCTGCACAGGGCCCAGGGACACAGGGAGATGGGGCCATGGCTGAGAGGAACCTGCCCAGGGATGAGCTGAGTGCTGGATGTGCCAGGCAGGACCAGAGGAGAGGCTGAGCCCACGTCCTGTCCCCAGCTGCAGGTGCTTCAGGAAAACAGCCCCCACCTGCCCTCCGTGCTGGCACCCACAGCTGCTGCCAGCTCCCTCCCGAGCTGCTGGGCTCCCACCTGTGCCACACATCCCCCTGGTGTGTGCCCAGGCACCCTCAGAGCACCTCTGAACTCACCTCTGAGCATCTGCTTCACTCATAAATATCCTTCTTATCTGCAATGTAATCTACAATCTCCTGTGGGCGCATCAGCTTCTCTGCATCTCCGTCAGGAATTTCAAATCCTGCAACAAAGGGCACACACTTAGCGCAAAACCAATGGAAAAGGGAGCAAGGGCGAGGAAGGGATGGTTGGGGACTCAGGGGACACACACGCAGGGGCTGCTGCGCTAGCCAGAGCTGTCACTGTACTGCCCAAAGTGACACTGCTGCCAGACAGGGGACACGGCGGGCACAGCAGGAGCCAGAGCCCCCCAGGCACCAGAGTGTGGCAGGGCTCAGCACCCTCTGCTCCCCTTTCCCCCTCCCCGGCTGGTGCCCATGGCGGGTGGGACAGAATTCCTGCTTCCAGAGGGGCTGAGCTCCAGAGCAAAGGGCCATATTTCTGACTGCTGCAGGTGCCCAGCTCACTGGCGGCTCTGTGGGGTTTGCCCTGCTCTGGGAGCTGGCCCTGCGGTGTTTGCCCGGCTCTGTGGGGTTTGGTCTGCTCCCAGGGCTGGCCCTGCAGTGTTTGCCCGGCTCTGTGGGGTTTGCCCAGCTCTGTGGGGTTTGCCCAGCTCCCAGGGCCGGCCCTGCAGTGTTTGCCCGGCTCTGTGTGGTCTGTCCTGGCCCCAGGGCTGGCCCTGCGGTGTTCGCCCTGCTCTGTGGGGTTTGCCCTGCTCTGGGAGCTGGCCCTGCGGTGTTTGCCCGGCTCTGTGGGGTTTGCCCAGCTCCCAGGGCTGGCCCTGCAGTGTTTGCCCGGCTCTGTGGGGTTTGCCCAGCTCCCAGGGCCGGCCCTGCGGTGTTTGCCCGGCTCTGTGGGGTTTGGTCTGCTCCCAGGGCTGGCCCTGCAGTGTTTGCCCGGCTCTGTGGGGTTTGGTCTGCTCCCAGGGCTGGCCCTGCAGTGTTTGCCCGGCTCTGTGGGGTTTGCCCAGCTCTGTGGGGTTTGCCCAGCTCCCAGGGCCGGCCCTGCAGTGTTTGCCCGGCTCTGTGTGGTCTGTCCTGGCCCCAGGGCTGGCCCTGCGGTGTTCGCCCTGCTCCCATGCCCGGCCCTGTGGGGTTTGTTGTGCTCCCGGGCCTGGCCCTGCGGTGTTTGCCCGGCTCTGTGCGTCTCTCCCTGCCCCACACGGCACAGGCCGGCGGTGCCGCCGCTCGCACGGCCCAGCAGCCCCGGGCGCCGT